TTTTTCGACGACTGTAAACGTGTCTTTGGAACTACCTTGTGTAATACTGGCGAAAAATTGTATTTTGATTATTCAAGTGTTCCTCAACAATCATTCCTAATCCACGAACACGTAGAACGCAACAATACTGTACTCCATCACCTCTGACTGCAACTAGTTGTGTTCTCTCTTCAAATGATCAATAACAACAAAATTATCACATATATACATTTGCATATTATTTATAAGTAAAAGGTGTCACATAAAAATGCCTTCCTTTTCTACTATCATCTATTTTTCCTCATTCATGTAATTGTGATTCGCCTGCCAAATGTGAATTAATTAAAATGAATCTAAAAATGTTCTTATTGACAGATTGTGCTTCTGAATGAAGCATAACATTTATTTATGACAGAATATTTAAAAGAATATGTTCAACAAACTCTGCATTTCCAACTTGTCTTAGTTGCTTATCAAATAGTGGTGAATCTAATTTGCTATTTATTTATTTTTATCTTTTTTAGATGATTGGAGTTCTTAGTAGACTTGTTAGAGTCATTCTGACTCTGACTCGTCCTTTGTCAGATAAACTCCTCAATGTCCTATACGGTATCTTCATGGGAAATACTCCACAGTTGCCACCAGTAGATACCAAAATTCTTCTCATGACAGCCACAGAACTCGCTGAGAAAATTCGAAAGAGACAAGTAAACAATATTTTCTTAACTACACTATTTCTTTCCCCTTTTTTTTTTTTTTTTTTTTTTTTTTTTTTTTTTGTTTTGTTTTGTTTAAATAGATGCAGTGTTTCACATACAATTGATTATCATAGAAGAAAAAAAAAGGGTCCATTGTTATAGCTGTTATCATCACAGTGTTTATTTGCTTTGATTGTAAAAATGCATGTCACGATGGCCGTGCAAATATTAATTGAGATCATATCTCTCTTTATTATTGCAATAGATTACTATAATATTAATTTCCTTCCTGCAGTATTACGTTATAGTAAGAAAAACATGAACGAAATGTTGCACATTTTATTAACCATACAGCAAAAAAAATAAATAAAATAAATAAATAAATAAATAAAATTATGTTAATAAAAGAACTGTGAAGACTTGGATTCTAAAAATAAGTAAGTTCCAGTCAAGTCGAAATCAGAATATCGAATTCTGGTCTTAGTTCTGGTCGTAATTTTAAAGATCTTAAACATCATCTTTTTTTTCTACTTAGTTAGATCAGAAATGTTATTTCATTGATTTATTTGCAATAACTTTTAGACTCCCTTTATCCCAAATTAGTTGCTATATTTGAATACTTCTGTACGGATAATTGATATTGATGATTTTATGATTTCGTTTCAACATTTTTCAGAAATTTCAGGGTGCTACGTAATCAATCAATAACATTTACTTATCAAACATTCTCCCCTTAAATAAGTACCAGATTAGTTTCAAAGATCCAGGGTTCTCACACACTTAAGGCAAGTGCCATTTTGTAAGGACTCTTCCATCCGTAATCGTATAAAACTATCTTCTAATTCAGCGATTCACAAACTGTGGGGCGCGCCTTCCTTGGGGTGGGGCGTGATAACCCTACTTGGGGAACACGAGCATACCGAAAAGTCGTAAATAATAGATTATTTAAAGAATTATTAATTTACTGAAAGGAAGCAAAACAAAATACATTCTGACATAGTAAAAAATAAAATACACATTTACACTGATAAAACGTACTTATAAATATATCAGTACTGCACAATGTATTTGATAATTAATTTATCAATACTATAAAAGATATTTCTCCCGCCTTCTTAGCATGCCTTCGTGGTGTGCTGGTCTGCACGCTGGGCGTATATTCCAGAGGTCCATAGTTCGATTCCCTGGGAGGGCGTTACTCATTTTTCACAACTCACGTTTCCAAAAAAAAAAAAAAAAATTTCCTGATGTCTTTACAGTGGCGCCCGAACTAAAAAGGGTGGTGGATAATGATTCTCCACACCCAGGATTTGGCGATTAGGTCCCCTAAAAACACCAGTCGCCCTTTAAAAGCGGGAGTACATAAGGTATTTCTCCCACCTTCTTAGCGTTGCTTTCGTGGTGTGGTGGTCTGCACGCTGGGCACGTATTCTAGAGTTCCGTGGTTCAATTCCCGGCCAGGGCGTTGCTCATTTTTTACGTCTCCTGCTCCCAAAAAAATACCTAATGTCTCTACAACTAAATTAAGAACAAGTTTCATAATTACTACTGACTCCCAAGGACTTGTCTTGCAGAGCAAAGTTATATAAAGGAAGGTTTAATACTAGAAATTGACACTCTAAGTTCTTTTTCCATGTTTAACTGAGATCTATATTTTTTCTTCAGAGCAGCCACCGCAGAAAATCCGGTTTCACAAAGGTAGGATGTTGGAAATGGTAATAGCATACAAAATGCTTTCTTTTTCAGTGCAGAAAAATTCATCATCCATCCCCTACCCAAAATTCAAAGAGTGATTTATTACTAAAGTGCCTTTTGATTTCTCCCCTTGACGTGAAATCTATAAAGATTTCTTTTTCGGCAGTTGAGAGCCTTTCTGTAAAATTTTGAAATAGATCCTTAACCCACTCCTATCAAGTGGTTTTCAGCAAAAAAATACGTTTTAAAGTTTTTTTTTGCCAGCATGCCTAAATGATTTTCAATGGTTTCAGAAACAACTTTCACATGTTGTTTACCAGCTTTGTAAATTTATCCACATTTTCAAACATTTCTAGGGTTTTTTTTCTTGCTTTAAATTTCTGCTTCATAATTCCAATTTTTTACAAAAAGCATTAATTTTATCACTCGTCTCCAACATATGTATATTTGTTCCTTGGAGTTAAAGATTCAAGTATTTAATTTCTCGAATATATCGACTCAAGTAGCTCTATTTCATCACAAATAAACCATCTCGAAACTTCTCAGCTTCGTGTCCGTGTCTTCTTCTAGAAAAGTGGCAATTTCGTCTCCTGATTCATAAACATATTGCAAATATTTCCCACGTGATAAGCATCTTGCCTCGCAATAAAATAGCAACGACAAATGTACTGCACCCATGTCTTTACAAAGTACAGAGAAGATTCTTGATTTTGAGGTTCTCATTTTTATATAATTTACTATGGTGACAACTGTCGTTGGCACAATATTCATTCCATGGTCATTGATTTCTTTGGAAACCAGAGTTTCTCTGTGGATCATGCAATGTGTCTAGATGCACAGTAGAGATTTTTGTTTACGAGTGCTTGTACAATTTGGAATCTTACAGACCACCAACGGTGTATATTTCGATACAATTTTTTCACTCTTCGTTTGCCTCGTTTATAAAATTATTTAAAATATCAAGTAATGCTTGTGCTGTTGCTTTGGGTTTTATTGGTTTACAAAAACGTAGTTCTTCCACTGCTGATATATCGTCACAAAATCGAACCAAGGTAATGAAATAAGCATCTTTATCGCTATCTGTTGCCTCATCAAGCTGTATTGATGAAAACAATTTGTCACAAGTAAGGAAATTTGGAACAAGTGATTAGTTACAAACTTAATGAAATGCGTTTCAATCTTTTATAAAGAAATATTAAAAAAAAAAGGTAATTTGTTAACTCTTATATAAGATAACGTTGAACATATTTCAGTGCAAACCTTTGCAGCAATAAAGAATATTCAATCAATAAGTGATAATACATATTGAAATGTTAATGAAGGTATAAGGTTTTAATGTAATATAACATGGCCCAAGATAAACCGAGCTAAAAGCAAGTGCAGAACGCATGAGCTTAAGGCGATATTACGCTATTAGATGACAGACAAATGCGGCTTATTTACATAGTTTCCTCCGTCTCCACAGGTACTGCTGGAAATATTCACCGTGATGGGTCCAGGCATAGTTTGGCCCAATAAATCACGTTCACTGCGACTTTCTGCAACACGTTCCATCATGACGTTGCACATAAACTGTTCCAGTGCCTCAAAAGTCTATTGATTATTCTGGTCAATCTCTCCCTTCAGCGCACAAATAAAAATAATGGTTGGATTATGATTTTTCAATTAGTTTTTTAATGCTTAAAAATCGTAAATTATTGCGTATAATTTGGCAAAATTATTTTGATATTGCTAAATTATTATTATAATTTGTCGAGTCATTAGTTTTTTTTTTCATGTGTTCATTAGTTATGTTTTCATTAGTTTTTTTTTTTTTTTTTTTTTTTTTTTCATTTTCAAAAATGTGCAGTGTCCTCGCCGGGACTCGAACCCTGAAACTCTAGAATACGCGCCGAGTGTGCTACCGTTACACCACGAAGGCATGCAGAAATAAGGAAGAAAATGCCTTATAAATTTAGCAGAATTTAGAGATGGAGGGAAACGCGTTTCCTGCTCTTAATTTGCTTTTAATTCTTCTGCCATTCACCTCTTACACATATTTTATTTACCAGCGTTTTCATTATACTCCGTGCTATTCTGTTAATGTTGAATCATTTCTCTTGAAAAGTGTTTAGTCTTTTATTTGCAACAAAATAATAAAAAAGCTCTTCGATAGAGATCCACTAGCATTTAGCAGAAAGTCCAAAATATGTACAAGAGTTCCCTTTAGATGTTCATTTGTACAAGTTTTAATACGCGCATTTATTCTTTATCGAAATAATCTGAAATATTTTTCACTTTCATTCTAAATCTGCTGAAGTGACTAAAGTCGGATATCACTTTTTCCCTATGAACTCGACCTTGAAATGAAAGGTCTTAGTCTGGTGCACTCGTTTGAATCTCTAATGTCTGAGCTGTTATGGTATATTTCAGTACCACATTAGTCGGGGCAAAATGGTATAATAAGAACACAGGATGCTAACTTGGTTTCATCTCTTAAAGAGGAAAGTTATTAGTACATTGTTCGATTTACTGAAAGGACTCTTATTGCTTCTGCTTCCTTATGAGTTATAATTTCAAGGAAAAAACTTTAGATTAAAAACAAAATTAGAGGTATCTTTTGCCTCTTCTGTTGAGCATTTAGCTTAGAGACTTGCAGATTCATTTTCCAGAAGGCCAATTTTTCTTGTCGCTTTATCTCTGATATTTCTCATGTCTTTCATATTAATTGTTTTCTGAGCAACCTATATAATACACTGACTACCAATAAGTATTTGGACACCTGTGATAGAAAAGAAAAACTAACTTTATTCAAAATCAATAAGTGGTAGAGCCTCTACGAGAGGTAATTACAGCGTGGACCCTCCGGGGCATACTTTCCACAAGTCTTTGTATGACAGCTAGTGGTATTTCCTTCCACTCGGCTTGGAGAAGACATAGAAGTTCCTTCACCGATTTTGCACGGGTAGTGCACCCCTGAATTCGGCGATGCAACTCGTGCCTGAGGTTCTCGATAGGGATTCAGGCCTGGACTCTGGTCAGGCCAATCCTTTCGATGAGCTCCATTGGCACCATACCAAGCCTTGGTTAACGTCGAAACATGACAACTGGCATTGTCGTCCTGAAAGTAACAGGGGTCCAACCCGTAAAACTGCCACAGGGTAGGAAGCACATTGTCATCCAAAATAGTGCAGTAGGCATCGGAATTGAGCTTACCATGAATGGGGACCAAGGGTCCCAGCCCATACCAGGAGAAACACCCTAGACCATAATTCCACCTCCGCCGAACTTGACTGTTGGCACAATGCATTCTGCAGGAGACGTTCTCCAGGTAG